ATAAAAATAAAAAATAAAATAAAAATCAGAAAAATTAATTGGAAAATATAACTGTGCATTAAATGAATGTACCATGGAAACAAATCAGGCTCTACAGATTTGCTGGACTCAAAAAGGTTATATCAGTAGAGACAGAAAATAGTACTATATGCCATCAGCGCATTGATTTGGACGAGATATCGTCTAGCAGCGTTAATTTATGATATATATTTATTTCCTACTCAAGTGTTTTCCATTCTTGAGCAGCGGATGTTAGAGTTGTTAAACGGAACAAGTTGCTCGTGAGCTCGACTTGTTGCTATTTAACAGACAATATCGAAATGAACTAATCACTAATTGCCAAAAATTACGAAACGAATTTTACCTTAGAAAATGATAAAGAGCAAAATAAAATAAAATATATAATGACATCTTAATTAATTAGGCAAACAAACACAGTTGATCCCACCAGGCCATCTTTATTTCTCTTTACTAATTATACAATACCCGACAGCCTAAATAATTTCGTCATTATAATCTTAGAGTAATTATTTTGTCTTAAGATACATGAATAACTAATCATGATTAATTAACTTGTGTTAAATACTGATTATATCTTCTTGCTAATTGAAGTACTTTAGTTGAGATAGTAATCTAAAAGCTCTCACGAGTGAAGATTTTCTTATTCATTCTGTACTTCTTTTGGGCCATTTCTTGATTATATGTTGAGATATATATCTCAACTTGATCATCAATCACAGATAGTGATGTTAAATTAAACGAGTCTGGCTCGGCTCGTTTGATAAACGACCCGAGCTCGAGCTCATTTACAGGTCGTTTTGTTAACTAGTCGAGCTCAGCTCGGTTCGATAATATATATATATATTGTTTGGCTCGTTAATGCTCATGATCGGCTCGAACTCGACTCGTTATGAGTGTTAAATGAGCCGAGCTCGAGCTCGATTTCAGGCTCGTTAAGGGCTCGGGCTCGAACTCGAGCTCGGCTCGGCTCGGCTCATTTACAGCCCTAGTTCATACATACATATGACTCTCTACTTTGGAATTTGACCTACTAAAGATAAAATATTATTGAGATGTACATACTAAGATTTTTATTCCAAAATCCTAGCTCATCATAATATTTTTTGGCTAGTCCTCACATTTTTTTACTAATACCTAATCTGACCTATATATTAAATGAAAAAAAAAAACCCCAAATTCCAAAAGATCATGATCTATAATAAAAATACATACCTTGCCCTACGATTTTGAAACCAAACCTCAACTTGCCTTAGCTTTAGGTGCAATTGCTTGGCCAAAGACTCCTTTTGTTTCTGCATGTTTTTTACACCAAAAAATATCACTTAACAACGTAAATCAAGATGATAATATGATTGATTAATGTTGATGATGCATACTGTGTTTAAGGTTTGATTTTGTCGAAAGCTTTCTTCGAGAAGGCGAGACTGTTCATGGGTGAGACGAAGTTTCTTTCGTGGGCCGGGGCTTGGGCATGGGCCTGGGCCGGCATTGTTCGGGCTCTCCTCTTCTTCTTCCATGGATTCTTCTTCTATAAATCTTGATGAAGGTACTTGATTCATATCCAGTTCTTTCATACCACTTTCCCCTATATCATGTACTTCAATAAAATAAATGAATAAAAAAAAGGCAAAAGGTTTATCAAATTGGTAATAAGCATTAACAACTTTACAGAAATGCAAAAAAATTTAATGATGCTATTATAACTTTGATTAATGCTAGTAATATCAAAGTATTATTGAAGTATACTTGTAATTAAAACCCTAATCATCATCAGATGGGATAATAAATTCTCAAATTTCCATTAATTAATATTTGGAAAAAAAAAAAAGTCAAAATTCTAGCAAGATCCATATGAAATGAGCCTAGAAAGAACCAAAACCTTTTTTTTTTT